CCCCAGGCCACTCTCCCTCAGGGTGACCTCCCAGCTGGGAATCACCCTTCACCAGGCTGGGGGTTGGGGGCTGGGGCGGGATCTGCATGCAGTAGGCACTCAAATGTTTGGATGCAGGAATGAGCGGAGAGTGAGCTGGGAATGAGAGGAAGCCAGCCTGGGGCTAAGCACAGAGACAGGTGAGAGCCGCACCATAGGAGTGGCTCGCCAGCCCTGGCACAGCTGCTGCATGAAGCAAGGTGCTTGGTGAGCATATGAATATGCGGAGTGAATTAACCCATGGGCTATTAGGGAGAAAGCCTCAGCAGGGAGTTGGGAAGCCTGCATTCTCAGAGATGCCGTGGGAGGCCATCAGCAGGGCACTGCCTCTCTTGGGGCCTCAGTTTCCTCCTCTAGACTGTGGGAGGGCTCACCTAGATCAGGGTTGCGTGCTACGGCCTGGGGGCCGAATCTGGCGCCTCCCTCCCTGGTAACGGGATGAGCCAAGGGTGGATTTTGCAGGTAATATTTGCAATCAATTTAATGATAGGGAATGCTCGTTAACTATGCCAATCAAGCAAAATATCCCTGTAAAAAAGAATTCAGTTCTTCCATTCCATATGTAGACCTGTAGTACCAAAAAAAAAGTATACTCATTTATTATCCTATTCTGAATTTAGTCAATAAAATCTCTATGGCATACACCTACATAATATCCTTAAGTTTGCCTCTTGGCCTGTAAAGCCCACAGCATTTACTGCCTGGCCGTTTATGGAAACTGTGAGCCTGTCGCAGACTCAGTGGTCTCTGAGGCTCCTTACAGCTCTGGCTTGCTTCCCTGTGGGTGGGAGGGGGCCTGGGGGCGGGAGGAAGCGCCTAGACTGTTTCTCTTCCTCACCGCAGGCTTCCACAAGGTCATGGAGGGCATCCACAAGGCCATCGAGCTGGGCTACAGCCCTGTGAAGGTGAGGACGTGCCACTGCTACTGGCCTTCCTGCCCCCTGCACCCCGGCCCCATGGCCGCTCCCAGCCCCAGCCAGTGCAGCTGCAGGGTCCCCCACATCCTTAACTACTACATCCAGCCCTGCCCCTCACCCCGCAAGGGAGGGGAGAAAATCAGTGACCCATGGGATCCCCCAACCTAAGAACTGTGGGGTAAAGGCAAGGATTGGGACCCCCCCAGTGGAGAGCCTAGGCAAGTGCCAGAACCCCAAAAGTCACCTCTGCAAAAGCAAGCGTGGGGGACAGCCTTCGTGGTCCCTTTGTCCCCTGAGCAGGTGAACTGTGTGGTGATGCGAGGCCTGAACGAGGACGAGCTCCTGGACTTCGTGGCCTTGACGGAGGGGCTGCCCCTGGACGTGCGCTTCATAGAGTACATGCCCTTTGATGGTGAGTGACAGGGAGTGGCGTGGGGGAGGGGGGCGGGGGCTGGGCCTGTCAGCAGAGCACCTGATGCTGGACAGAGTTGAGTGGGGCGGCGAGGTGTGGCTCAGCCTGTGGGCCCTGCTGCCCTCAGACCCTGCCATGTGCGTAGGAGTTTCTCCAGAGGTGGTGGGGAGGGGCCCCGACAGGCGCCAGGGTTAGGGCTGCGAGGGGGCGTCGGGGGCTTCTCTGTGCTGAGAGTGGGGGTGGTTTGATCCACCGGTTTTAGGCAGGGCCTCCTGACCTCCCGTCCAAGGGAACTGACTCCTGGGCTATGTGGGAGGATGGACCTGAGGCCGCTGGGCCCCTACAACGCTGTGACTCAGTAGCATTCAACCCCAAAGCAGGGAACAAGTGGAACTTCAAGAAGATGGTCAGCTATAAGGAGATGCTGGACACCCTGCGGCAGCGCTGGCCGGAGCTGGAGACGCTGTCCGGGGAGGAATCTACCACAGCCAAGGTTTGGGGGGGCAACAGCTGGGCTGCGTGGGGAGGAAGGTCCCGCCCTCACCCTAGGACAGGTGAGCTGGCAGGGGCTGCCCTGAGGTTGGAGCGCAGCGACGCAGGGCAGTAGCACTGAGGCAAGAGACATTTCAGGGCCATCACAACAGCCTCCTTTTTCATGGGTAAAGACTTAGGCTGGGTATGGGATAGGGGTGAAGTAACTTGTCACAGGACACACTCCAGCGCAGCGGTTCTCAACCTGTGGGTCGTGACCCCTTTGGGGGTCGAACGACCCTTTCACAGGGGTCGCCTAAGACCATCGGAAAACAAAAAGATATTTACATTACAATTCATAACAGTA